CTGGAATTTATAGCTCAGTTTGAGCCGTTTGTCGTATACGGTGCACACCAGTTGTTTGGTAAATATGAGTTTGAAAAGGAAAAAACGAACAATCCGGCCTTTCAGAAATTCGTCGATGTAAGTCTCACTCACTGATGCGTTGGTCGATTTTCGCTCAACAGATGTACATCTTTCGATAGGAAACCGAACGCAACCCAGCTTCCCGAAAGCTTGAACTTAACGGTTACCTCACGAAACCGACCACTCGTCTTGCCAGATACCCGCTCTTGCTGAAAGAAATTCTCAAGCACACGCCTGACGACAATCCGGATAAAACAGAGATTCCGAAAGTCACCGAGTTGATCAAGGACTTTCTGACTCGTGTGAACGAAGAGAGTGGAAAGTCTGAGAACATGTTCAATCTTGCTCAACTGGACCAGCAACTCGTATTTCGACAAGGGGAGAACTTTGTGAGCCAAAGACAGTTTTCAAACGCTACGTTGATTACGCATACTGACTTGCGTCATTCACACGTTGCGTTAGGATCTACATCTTCGTGATAAAAACAGACAGTTGGTTTTCAAGGGGCCTCTCAAATGTCGAGGGGGTCCGAACGGCAACGGAGAGAATGCAGATCTGCTTGCTTTCTTGTTTGATCATGCTCTGCTGCTTGTGAAAGCAAAGTGGATGAACAAACAGCAGGAGCAATACAAGGTTTATCGAAAGGTAAGATGTCGCCACTCTCCCAGTCAGTGCCCAAGCAGAGCTGACCTCTTAATTTAGCCCATACCACTGGAGTTGATGCTTGTCACAGCTCCGGAAGACGCCCGTAGTGCATTAAAAGGCCCCGCCAGTCGAACTGGAGTCACCTCATCAGGTCGAGGGACCAATGGAAAATCTGCGAAAGACGTCATTCACAAACCCGATTCAAAGCACGGATTCAGCCTCACCATCCAGCATCTCGGAAGAAAGGGTTACTACCTGACTTTGTGGGCGGCTTCTTTCGCTGCGCGTCAAAACTGGTTGGAGCACATCGATGAACAGCAACAGAATCTCAGGAACCGAAGCAGAGTCTTTAGAACTTTGTCTTTGACCGATCGTTTCTTTGTTGGGTTGAACAAGGTGAACTGTGCTTCGCCATATGGTACGTGGTCGCCACTTCTGTGTTGGACTTTTTGGGGCTAACCTACGCGGCATCGATCAGATGGAGGTAGACGTATAATCTATGGGACGGATGAAGGTGTCTTCTTCAGCAACCTTCGCGATGAACGCTTGCGGATTCCGGCCAAGGTAGTCGCTATACCCAACGTCACACAGGTTGACGTTTTAGAGGAGTTCCAGTTGTTGATAGTGCTAGCTGGTTAGTAAGAGCTGAACTACGCTACCCCATCTTTTACTAACGAAACACCTGCATCACTAGAACGGAGTGTCACTGCTTTTCCTCTGGAAGCTCTGGATCCTACCGATCCCACGGCCGCCCTCAAAAGGGGCAAGCGTCTGTCATCGCACACGTCATTCTTCAAATGCGGTGTATGTTTAGGTCGAGTGTTGCTTTGCATCGTGAAATCTTCTTCGCTGTCGTCGACGATCAAGGTACTCGAGCCTGTTGATATGTCTCAGCGTGGAAAGAAGGAACCCACGCCTTTCCGAAAGTTACTGAACAACGGCGGTGCTCACAACGAGCCTTTCCATATATTGAAGGTATGTGTTCGAACTGTCCCGGAGCCAACCGCTATACTTACAGATGCTTTCCTCAGGAATTCTATATACCTACGGAAAGTACAAGTCTGATGATGCTGAAGACCAAGCTCTGTGTGGCCACAACAAGAGGTTTTGAAGTAATTGACCTAGAGGTACGGTGGATCTATTTGGACGTGACGTAGGAGTCTTTGGACTTACTGTTGTTTCGTTTCTAGACACTCGACACGCAAAGTCTGCTTGACCCTTCCGATAGTAGCTTGGACTTTGTGGCCAAGCGGGAAAACGTAAGGCCTGTGACCATTTACAGAATCGAGGAATTCTTCCTGCTCTGTTATGCAGGTAAGCATTTCGCGTTTGACCGCCCTTCAAACGATAAGAAGCTTATGGTGGCGTCCGACGGCAGAATTCGCATTCTACGTCAACAAAACGGGTTGGCGTGCACGGCCACGTTGGGCTATTCAGTGGGAAGGTGTACCCACGTCGTTCGGTGAGTCGGTCTGGTGATCCGCACATTACGGCAAGTGCTAACGTTTAATCGCACCAGCCCTTCACTACCCATATATCCTGGCATTCGAACCTACGTTTGTGGAAGTCCGACATGTCGACACCGGTCATCTTGTGCAAATCATTCCCGGCAACCATATCCGATGCCTTTTCGCCGATGCACCACCCTCGCAGATTCATACTCCGCAGGGGCCGCTCATTCCATTCCGAAATGTGCCTGGGGGCCCGTCACACCCTGGATTTGGTGGCCCGGCATATGGACATCCACCCCCCAACAATCCTTATGGCCCACCTCGACCGCCTGGGCCTCCTCCGTCCCGTATGCGAAATCAGATCATTTTCGTATCGGACGATGGCAATGTACAAGTCGTTCGGCTAGCCCCACCGGGTCCGACTCCGCCTCGCATCAGTCAAGCCAATAGCATTAGTAGACGTTGACCATACATGAAAGGCATTGTTGCTGTAAATCTCCACGTTGTATCGCGCTAGATGATCATATAAACGGGATGTACGATATGGGAATCACTCGCAACAACTGTTAAGGCAGCATCGTGGCATGCTTTCACGGAAGGATATACAAAGATGAGTGGCTTCTCACATGCCAAACCGCCATTGATCAAAGGGTACCCGTAGGTTGAGCGTAGGGGCGGTAGAATCTTGCGGAGCACGAACGGTGACTGACTGATTCTCCGTGCCTGGTCCAACAGGTTGAAGGAACGCGGGTGCCGGCGCATCGAGCTGAGGGCTCGTTGACTGGGTCACTTGGCTCTTCTCACCCTTAACCGCCTCGTACTCGAGGACGTAGGCTGGGAGGGCACTGTCGTGCGCGGTAGCCTTGTCACGGAGTGGTGTCTTTGAGGGTACTTGTGCGAATGGTGGAGGAGTAGGAGCGGTCATGAAACGGTCAAATGAGGAAGAGGTGGAGATGTCTTCAGAGGAGGCTTGGGAGGGAACGGTAGGTCTTGTTGGGCCAGCTGCCGGAAAGTGGGGTCTATGGTTCAATATAGTGGCATTGGTTCTTGCCGTGTTCTCGTTAGAAATATCCCTGAGTGGCTGATTCCCGTAGTAAAGGGGAGGAGGCTGAGCATAAGCGCCTGGGAACCGCTGCATTTGGGTCATTCGGGTATCCTTGGTCGCACTGCCGCTCTCGTCCTCGCATGATACGGCAATTTTCCGAGTGAGCCTGCGTTGAAAAACGAGTCCGATGAGGACGCAGACAACAACGAATATGACACCTGACGGTGTTTGGAAAGATTGGATTAGCTACGGTTAAGATGAGGGTCTCATGCGCCTACGAGTAGACGACCCGGAACATACTTCCAAACACTAAACCCATCGTGACCATCTTGTCCTCGTACTTCCACTTCAGAGCGGTAGTGTCGTCAACTCCTGCCAAAGTGCTGTTACCATCTAGCGCCGTGTTCGACACAGTTCCGACTCTGATAAAAGGCAGATGGCCGCCGACAGCATGGTCATCATAGTCGTAGTCGCCGCCTCCTTGGTCGCCGTATCGGTCGATGTTGTCGGGTTCGAGGGCAAGAGACATGGCAGTGGTGATGCGAGATTGGAGGTGGGGTTACAAAAATGTGAACTTCGAACGATTATTGAAATGAATGACAGGAAGGGCGGTAAAAGAGCGCACTACCGGGGAAGAAGAGAGGCGACAATACTTTTTGGCCGTTGTCGGGACATAGTCGCAACCATCAACCACGCTCAAGTTGACTTTATACTCGTCGTCAACAAAGTGGCACAGGAAGCTGCAACGCGATGTCCCCTGTTGTCAAGGGTGACAGGATCACGTCACAAGGGAATGTCAGAATTCCACAATTCCACAAAGGAACCTGGGAAGGACGCGCCACACGACCTGGCAGGCGAGGGGCCGAACTGAACCACGAAAGCGGTCTTGATCGTGTGTATCCCAGCCTCTGTCACCGCTGATTCTGCCACAATCGCAATTCCTAACCGCAGCTCTAGATGTGTTACGTCATGAATAACAATACGGGTCTAGGGGAACGATACACAATGTAGTTGGTTGCATTGAACGGAGAAGGCGCGTTCGAGGATATAGAATGGAGTGAAGAGTTATTATCTCCTCGTTGTACATTGGCACTTGACCAAGCCACCATTGGTGTCTTCTTGTCCATAGTCTTATGAACAGTACCAACGTCCGTATTCTGTCCTAGTTCTCGAGTCCACGGTGGACAACGGTCCTTGACAGTATAGTGTCTTGGTCAGGTGCCAGTGTACAACGAGAAGATAATAACTCTTCACTCCATTTTATATCCTCGAACGCGCCTTCTCCGTTTGATGCGACCAACTAGATTGTGTATCGTTCCCCTAGACCCGTATTGTCATTCATGACAAGATCTCTAGAGACGAGGAGACAGGTTTCCTATTGCATTTAGGATAACTATATAGTGTCTTGAACTCCCAAACCCCGTAGAATACACCTCGCTCCTGGCGAGAACACATGGAGAAACCGTGAGTTTGACGGCATAACTCAGCCGCAAGACTTCGCCTTTAGTCATGTCCTTCTAATCGGTTCATTGCAGACACGAAGGGCTTGTTGTGGGTCTCGAATGGGCAGCAAAAAATAACTCTGCGCCCATCGGAAGGGGAGCAAGGTGGCAAAAAGCCAAAAGTCGCACCGAGGAGGTCGAGATTTGAAGCGCTATATCTCGCCAAAAAATGGTCCAACGGCTTCGCCTTTTCGGTCGGGTTGAGCGCACGAGTGAGAAGAGTGATAATATGAGGTCAGAGGAACGCTTGTCCAAGTGGATCGGATGAAGAGACCCAAGAAGCGCCAAAAAAGAATGTGACCCCACTGCGATTTGAACGCAGGACCCTCGGATGGCATTTTGGAGCTCTTTTGAGCTGGATTGGAATCCGATATAATAACCACTATACTATGGGGCCATGTTGTTGTTTGTAAAGCATTTAAGCACTCATATATCGACACGGAAAGAACCGAAGCATTCGAGTTGTTCTGCGTTGTGCGTTGATTTCTGGTCTTGCATCTCAGCCTCCTTCCTCTCGCGAGCACGGCTTGCCACGGGGGCACCTCGATCGCCCACGCGGATGCAGATTCTCGCGCAGAGGAACCTTCCTCTCCAAGGCCTCTGTTATCGAAGGCAATGCATGACCAAGTGATGGTAGCTGGTGCCCAGTCCTTTCATCGGTAACAACATATCCGGAAATCTCATCGTCATTAGAGGTAAGAGAGCACACGAAGCTTTCCGACGACCCCAACTTCACGTCGAACACGCTCGGAACAGTGCCTTGGCGTCGCCTTTGGCCTGCGGGTCACTCCTTGTTGGTGGTCGCCAGTCTTGAATAGTGATTTATCATCATCATGCCCAGTGTCGCACCCTCCTCGCCATCCGTTCGCGCTGGTAGTCCCCCACTGTCGCCGTCTCTTCCAGGAAAGCTGCAACCGGGTTCATACGGTATCAGGGTGAGTTGTTGCGTATCAATCGTCCAACCTATGCTAAACGCGCCTTTGCAGGACGTGGTCATTGGTGTCCACCTTTTTATCAGAAAACCCGGACCGACAGGCGAAACCGAGGAACGATGGGCAGAGGTTCTCTCCATCCGTGACAAGCCACAGTCAATATACGCGCCAGCGCCGAAACCAGGACAAGTCACAGAACCCCTCGATCAAGTAGAATACTATGTCCACTACTCGGAATTCAACAAGCGGTTGGACGAATGGGTTGGCGGCTCACGATTGGTCCTGGAGAGAGAGCTAGAGTTGCCGAAACCGGTACAGCAGGAGAAACCAGCCAAGAAAAAGGTGACGGGTGCAGCGGCTGCAGCGCAACAAGCTTCGAGACAGGATAGTCCGAGTTCGAGTCTGCTGAGAAAGGCGGCAATGAAGAGTCTCAAGTCGCCGGCAGTCAGCGGACGGATGGGAAAGAAAAATGTCGCCCGCAAAGCACCGCAGAAGAGTACGCCAAGCAATTTGTCGGACCTGGCAGCAGAGGACGAAGACGAGGACATGGATGCGATAGGAGAGGATGATGATGAGGATGAAGAGGACAAGGATATCGTAATGAATGGAGAAAAGGCAAAGATTGTGACTGTCACCGATGGCGACGCCGACGTCGCGGCACCCTCGAATCCGCTCGCCGTGGAAACCCTATCGAAAGACGACGAGATCAAGCGACTCCGAACGACCGGCTCCATGACCCAGCAGCATTCCGAAATATCAAGGGTGCGAAACTTTAAAATGATTCACATGGGCAAACACGAGATCGAGACTTGGTACTTTTCACCGTATCCGATAGAGTTTGCACATATCGACATTCTCTACATTTGCGAATGGTGTCTCTCGTACTTTCCATCACCGATGATGCTCAAGCGGCACCTCACTAAATGCACGCTCCATCATCCGCCGGGAAACGAAATCTATCGGGACGACAATGTCTCGTTCTTCGAAATCGACGGTCGCAAACAACGGACGTGGTGCCGCAACCTGTCCCTCTTGTCGAAATGTTTCCTCGACCACAAGTTTCTGTACTACGATGTTGACCCGTTCTTGTTCTACTGCATGGCCAAACGTGACGAAAACGGGTGCCATCTCGTCGGTTACTTTTCCAAAGAAAAACAGAGCGCGGATCATTACAACGTCGCCTGTATCCTCACATTGCCGCAGTTCCAGCGCCAGTCATACGGGAAACTGCTCATCGAATTCTCGTACGAACTCAGCAAAGTCGAACGAGTGCAAGGGTCGCCAGAAAAGCCGTTGAGTGATTTGGGTTTGTTGAGTTACCGGGCGTATTGGCAGGAAGTGATTGTCGATCTGCTACTGACGACGGAGGAGCACGAGTTGTCGATCGATCAAATGGCAAACATTACGAGTATCGTGCCAGCCGACATCTCGCATACGTGAGTTCTTGATATGCGTTCAGTCCATCTGATTGCTAACCCATCCTTGCAGTTGTCACGCCTTGCACATGATCAAGGTGTACAAGGGGAACTATATCATCTGTTTAACGGACGCGGTACTCGAGCAGCATCAGCGGACAAAGGCCAAGAAGAGAAAGACGATAGATCCGTCCAAGCTTGTTTGGAAACCGTGAGTCGTGTCGATGAATCCGTCTATTCGGTCGCCTGCTGATACGTTTCATCATTCAGGCCTACGTTCTCGAAAGCTCAGTTATCTTTCGGGTTTTAGGAGGCGTCGCGCCACTCTGTGTTTGTTTGATGGGGTCAATTTTCGACCTTCGCCCTATCTGTTGTTTGCTCGAATCTAGTTGTATTGCATATCAGTTCTGTCCAGAGGGACAGCAGTGGTCGGTCGGTGAAAGTCGATGATGTCCGGCGGGGATTTGTCTAGTTGTATAGAAATTAGTTGTTCTGGGGATTGCACGATGTCATGATTGCTTCTAAGTCTGCTTTGAGCAGCGGCTCATGCAGCCTGACATGGTGAATCCACGCAAGGCGGACATTCATATTATGGCCCATCGTAGCTCCATGCCATCGCTCTTTCGAATTGGCTTCGAGTTCAGTACAATTCCGCTCACTGCATTTGCTGTTCCTACCTGTTCTCCATCCTTCTCTCCATAATACCAAGATTGTTAATCAGGCTTCTACATGACCAGTAGCCCTGCTTCAAGAAAAAGGTCAATCCTGTTACCCGGCGGGTCTAGAAACGTCTTCCCCAACAGTAGGTGTACAGATTGCAGGTGCTGCTCAAAATGAGATACGATGTATAAAGAGTGTTAAATGAGCTCTGTAAGTTTCAGTGAGCCTGCGCTGATCCATCGCGTGTATTAACAGTATTTGCCCGTGTTTCAGCAATGTTTCACGTCATCTTTCCCCTATCTCACTACTAATAGCTCAAAACAGTTACTGGATGACTCGGCTGTTATTGGCGATACATTCCAGCGCGGTCGCCGGCGGGGCCAAAGGATTCCCCTCATCAGCTTCTTGGTGTAGGGTTCATAGATCTGCTGGCATAGGTTACGGTCGGAGGTGTGAGGAAGGCTACATTCTGCCTATACCGATCAGCTTGCGGAGGAAAGGTACGGCGGAGCGGCATCCCGCGCCACGCCTCCGGCAGTCCCGCAAGCTGTCCCGCAGATCGGCTAAAGAGCTAGAGATAAGAATTTGAAGCCCGACACGGGATCGGAGGTCCGACTCTGGGTGAAACGCCTGCTTGCGAATGACGAGCCCGCAAAATTTAGCGGGATTTCAGCCCTAAGCAGGGCCCAAGCCAAGCGACCGATGGAAATGAGACGTCACCATAGCAAAGACTTTCGGGCCAGCTCGTCGTACATTTTCGTTTCTTGCATACAATCCCGACAATTACAACCACCGAACAAGCCAACAAATCATCTCGAATCCATACAAGAACAACTACTGACAATCCGACAAGGATAATTTATACCGAGGTGCGTCGTAACGACGACTTTGCAGATACCGTCGGACTGACCTTGCGCCTATTGGATAGCGTGCAAATAACCAGAAGAGTCTGCCATCATGCCTCACTGGTTCGCTCCGTACATGCATGGTGGCTCGTCCTCCTCCCAACCCGCAACGGCTGGCCAACCCTCGGGTACCAGCTCGGCCACTTCCTCTGCGCCGCCCTCCCGACCCGGTTCCCCTACTCTCCGAGCAGCGGCCTCTAGGACAGTATCAGGTGCAAGACTTCCACCAGGTCTGAATCTTGCCGGGTCCAGAACTGCCTCTATACAAGGAGGAGATGACCCATTGGCGGAGATTTATGGGTCGCGACCAACCACGCCGGCGTACAATTCTGAAGCGTTCCCAGCAACACCCACAACCGTCGCTTCGTCCGTAGGATCGTCATACTTCCCGTCCGCCAGAGGCGCCGCAATGACACCTGGTCTTTCGAGCTCTGGAGTCGACAGATATCCTCATGGAACCCATCACCACGCACCTCTGGAGATTCATCTGGACAGCGACTTGATCATCTTGCGGGGCGCTGGTGGAGACGTCAACCCTGCGCTCATGACTGGTCAGGTGATCTTGAACTTGACCGAAAGTACCAACATCAAAGAATTGACCCTCAGACTCGAGGGCAAAGCCAAAGTCGCATTCTTTGACGCTGCAGGGTGAGCCTCGTACCGTCTCACCATGCTTCACGTTCGAGCTAAAACAACTCTGGTCCTCTTTCCAGCGCCTCGGGAAGCAAGAACCATCACTTTACGCATCATTTCTTGACGCATGACTGGTCCTTCCTTCAAGGCAACAAGAGCCACTCTCATACATTAAAAGCGGGCCGGCACGTTTTCAACTTTGACTTTACCTTTGAAGGCAATATTCCAGCCTCGCTGCGGACTTACCTAAACGACGCCAACATATCATACAAACTGCGTGCATCAGCGATCCGATCCGCATTCAGCAGCAACTTCCATGCACAAAAGAATGTTACCGTTGTCAGGAGCTTCACCAACGAAGCTCTAGAATACAATCAAACGTTGGAGATCGAAAACACTTGGCCCGGAAAGGTCATGTACTGCTTGACTTTACCATTCAAGGCATACGCAGCAGGCGACGAGATACCTGTAAATGTCAAATTCATGCCGCTGGCAAAGGGAGTCAAAGTCACCAGTGTCTCGTCGGTCATCAAGGAGTACACTCAGGTGCATACCCGTAGCAGCTCGCACAATGAAGTCCGAGTGGCTACAAGCACGAAGCACGAAATCAAGAATGGTAGAGCCTACCGCGTCACGGAAGCCGGTGTTCAACCCGCCGCTCCTCCTCACCACTACTACAGTGAAGATTCGATACCACCTGGATCAGCAGCTCCGAGCGCTCCGCCGAGCCCGCACCATCGACCAGTCCGCGATTCAAATCTAGACAGCGTGACTCCGATGACAGACTCTGGGTTGAACTCTCGTGTTACCAGTTACGCCAACCTATCGGGGGCTGGAAGCTCTCGAGCACCC